CCAAAGTCCATCTGTACACAATTGGACATCCCCTCACAGAATGGTCACAAGGAAGGGATGAGCCAATCAGGGTGCAGTACAGCACCGTTGAAACATACAACTGTCCTCTAGTTTTTTAATGCTTTCTTACCACCCACCCCTATTATGACCCCAAATCTACCTTACAAATCCAGCTAGACCAGAGCATGTACACAGGTATAGATAAGAGCTGGAAACAGGAAGAATCCAGGACCTATACACCCCTCAGGACCCATATTGAGAGTAGCAATAGCAGGAGGGGAAGGGAAAGGTGGGGGAAGAAAGAGGGAGATAATCACAACGCTCTACATATAACTCCCTCCCTGGGGGATGGACAACAGAAAAGTGGGTCAAGGGAGACACCATAGTGCAAGACATGAAAAAATGAGGAGCTGCTACCAGGGGCTCAAGTAGCAAGAAAATGTTTTGAGAGTGATGATGGTAACAAATGTACAAATGTGCTTGACACAGTGGGATGGATTGTGATAAGAGTTGTATGAGCCCTCAATAAAATGATTAAAAAAGTAGATAGATAAATAAATTTTTAAAAATTGGCACAGGACTGTGCCCTCATAGAAAGCTCTAGTATTAACCAAATGAGTATGGAAACCATGGAACAGGAGGTAACGCTCAGAGACACAGGACTTATTAAGCAGTCAGGAAAGGACTCCTTGAAGAAATAATCATTAACTAGGAAATAACGGAGCAAAAGCACGTGGCAAAGTCAAGGGGAGACACACTGGCAGACTGGACAGGGGTTTTAGTGTGGTGACACAGTGCTGGAGGGCCTTGGGATGAAGTAATTGTTGGACATGGGGAGAAGAGGAAGAAACTAGGTTTCTGGCTGAATGAATGCATGAGTAGGTAGAATTAGGAGGTGAAGAAACTGTTAGCTCCTGAGCTTTGAATTGGAATCTTCTACCACCACATTTCCTTTAAAGCAGCAGGTACTTCCACCTCGGTGTATCATTGTTGCCCTGGTGTGTTGATAGACTGCCCTGTCAACTCCGAAACCTTCACTCTAAAACAAGCTCATGAAGCTGGGACAATGAATTTAGTGGCCCTGCCTCCAGTAAGAAGTGTCCCCACCAAATCACTGAGCCATAAAATCTGACACAAAGGGGGCCACTACCTTGTCACAAGCCTAGAGGAAGTCCAGTTTATCAACACAAAATAATGTCTTCTCCACGGCAGTCTAAGGCAGGCAGCCCGTCGTTCCCACTGTGTGCTGAAGTTGTAAATTAGAGTTGTGCTCTTAGGCTATACTTGCCTTTGTAGTTTTGACTTTATTGCCACTGCTACAGGACCAACCTGAGTTGTCGGGCAGCACTTTACAGTCTTCTCCTTCCAAGCAGGGATCCATGTGGCACCACCACTTCTGAGCCACGATGGAGGCTGGAAAACAAAGGGCAGATTGCCTGAGACTCATTCACACTGTTTCTTACTCCCACTGTAGCGATGCGAGTCTGTTTTGATTCATAGTGATCCAGTGACCTCACGTGTGCCACGTGAGGGCTTTCTCTAGCAAAGCTGCTCGGTGGAATAGGAACAGCGGACCTTTCACTGAGCAGCCAGCAGATGAACGATTCCAACAGTAAGGGTGAGGAGCCTGACTTCAGAGATGCTTTCTGTCATCGCCACCAAAAAGCAGGCTTCACGAGGAGAAGACATTTGCTTCATGTACCCCCTGCCCTTCATCAGGAACCCCTGGTGGTGCCGTTGGGTAAGGCAGTGGACTCTAACCTCAAGAATGGTTCCAACCAGCAGGTGCTCTGAGGAAGCAGACCCCTGCCAGCACTGAGATGCTTACACGTTCACTGGTTCCGCTCTCCTCCTGCAGTCAGCATCATAGTGTGTTTTGTGAGATGGAGGAGGTCTTTGTGGATTGCTGTCGGACATATGGGTTAATATTGGACTTGTGGGCTTTGGCAGCACTGGATTGGGATGTTTTCTTGATGCGCACTTAACCTTTATGTAAAACTAAAGTACCTAGACTAATGCACTATATCAGATTTTAAAACCGTATTTGTGAAGTGCTGGCGAGGGTCCTCCATAGTGTTCATCATTGGCAGCATGCTCAGCACAGTTGGGGCCGGTCTGGAGTGAGTCTAAAGAAGAGAGAGTTCGGTGCCCAGCCCTCAGTTTAAAAGCGAAGCACATATTGACCAAGGGAGCATGGACGTGCCTCCCCTCCTCCGCAGCGGAGACTCTGTGCTCCTGAGCCGAGGCAGACAGTGCTACATGGAAGGCTTGAAAGAAGCCCTGGCAGGTGGGGGGGTGGGGGGGTGGTAGAAGATGATAATGCAGGCCTGCGAGGCCACCTCAAGATTAGACTTGATTTGTCACAAGGTGGGAGTCAGGGACATTTTCCGAGGAAGGCGGTTAAGGTAAGTCAGGGGAAACCCAGTGTCTGGCACAGTCACTTGACAGGGACTGATGGGCGAACTGGGGACAGAGAGAGAGGCAGCTGAACGAGAAAAATTTCCCCACGAGGAAGCAGAATGTGAATCAGAAGCTCTCAGCTCTCCAGCAGGAGAGGGCTAGCATTCCGTTAAATGCTGACGACAAAAGCTAAACCGAGCGGAGGGAAACAGAAAATCTACACTTCGTTTCAGGATTTAGAGAAATACACAGGAAATGAAGGCAGCGTGAAACGGCAAACCCAAACCAGTTCTTGGAGGCCCTGGGATCTTTGGCCTGCACACAGGGACATCACTTGAGCCGAGCAGCTCGTGAGGGAGGGCCAGAGGCAGCCAGAAAGCATGGAAGGGAACTCGTCTGTTCTCAAGAGTGCGACCCGATGGCCGCCCTGATGCCTTCCCAAGTCTCGTCATCCAAGCCCCACGCAGCGCTAGCTGCAGGGCGAAGGCTGGGAGCAGCCAGCTCGCGGATGCTTTTCTTCCCAGGGCTGCGGGGCCGGGTACCTCCAACCTGTCAGCAGCCCAGCACTCAACTGTCCCATCCCCGGTCCGTTGCACCTCATCGCCACCCCCGGGACGGCTGGGAGGCGGTAAATCTTTCTCCTGAGGTTTGAACTGCTACTCAGGAAGTGCTAGGGAATCAGACAGAAGAGCAAACTCTCACTATTATTATTAGTGGCTTTTTTAAAACCAATTTTCCTTCATTTAATTGAAAAATATGTGATTCATAACATTTCTCCACCCCTATTTAAAACAGCAAGCTGCTCTAGGATTTTAAATATTTCTATTAGGAAAATGATTTTTTATTTTGCTATCCTTCAGAATAATGCATTAAATTAGGCACCCCAGAAGCAGCCCCTTCGTCCGTGATGGAGTTCTTTTGTGCACGATTTAATAGCAAAGGTTCTTGCAGGAAAGAGACATCAAAGGAGCCCCCCCAGTCACCAAAATAAAAGTTTTCCATTCCTTTATGGGTTCAGGAGTGATGGAAGATGCACGACTCGGGGTGACCTTATCAGTGAATCAGGTGATTAAGCAGATCAGACGTGGAGGCTTCGAGCCCATACTGAGCCCAGCTGAGAGCCGAGGGGAAAGGCCCAGAAGCAGGATTCTATTAAAATAACCGTTGAGAACATCTGCCTACTTAACAGAGCCTCGTCTCCACAGGAAATAAGTTTGTAGGAGGCTTTTTTTTCTTGTTACAAAATAGCATAATATACTTTAAATGAGAAAGTATCTTGTCACTTCTATTTTTAAGATAAAAATCCTTATTTTTAAAAAAAGTTCCAAGTCTTCAAGCTGCCAACCCAGGGTTTACGGATGCAACCAGTACATACTAAACGGTTTCCTAGGGCTTAGCACGACCAATTCAAGAAATCCTGGCAATGCCATGGGTAAGCACCAGGCTGCTTGCTACTCACAAGGTGGGAAGACCCACCACCTTCTCAGGCGGTGTGCTTCCATAAAGATTTACAGTCCTGGAAACCCGATGGCACACTTCCACGCTATCCGACAGGGTTGAAATCGACGTCGTAGCAATGAGTTCAATTAGCAATTCTGCTGCTTCTTTTTTCTATTGGCCTTTGTATGTCTTATCCTTTCAATCAGCCCACCTTCAAATTAGACTAGAACTGGCTCAGTTCTCGTCTCCCTTCTGTTGACTTAGTTGAGCTGTATTAACACAGAGTTCAGGCTTTGCTAAAATTTTTACTTCTACACTGAAACTACGAACAAGGAGATTAAGGAAACATCTTCCCTGAATATTTATTTGGGGGGAAGTGGTCACACAAATATGCTCTGGGATTTTAATGCCTTTAGTTTGGCTCTTACGAATACTATTTTAAGATTCTTGCATTTTTCATTAACATAAGCTATGTATTAACTTTTAAGATAGCTAAGTGGAAAGCCCTGCCAACTGATAGTACCTGTTGTTTCTATACCAACCTGACTCAGATAAGAGGCACACGAGCAATATTTAGAGTGCTAAGGTTTTTATTTTTAAGGAATCTCTTGCTTGTTTGCACGTTCCTCACATTACAGTTCTGAGCAGGGCGGAGGGAGCCTGATCTTCAGTGGGCCAGGCTTGTCTTCTCAGATCGCTGCCATCTCACACAGCACATAGGTGTAACATGAGGGCCCCTGGTGGGTTTTATCAACGTTGGTAGTTGCTCAAATGCCAAATAATTAGCTCCTATCACAGATCTGAAAGGTTAGCAGCTCGAAGCCACTCTGAGGGAGAGAAATGGGGCTTTCTACTCCCATTTAAGAACTATAGTCTTGGAAACTGTGCTAGTCTGGGTAGACAAGAAAAACAAATTCATAGACACTCATAAGTGCATAAGAAAGAGCTTTATATCAAAGAGCACTGTATATTAAGAAAACTTCCGAGCCAGTCCAGCTCAAGTCCGACATTAGCCCACATGTCCAATACCAGTCTATAAGTTCCTCTTCAGACTCACGAACACATCCAATGACACCCAAGGCAGCAAGGTCACAGGTCAGTGGGTGCAAAGTTTATGGATCTAGTGGTGGTAGAAGCATCTCAGTGCTGGCAAGGGGTCTCCACATGGCTCCTCCAGCTTTAGGGCTCTGGTTCTATCAGTCTAGCTCCATGGGGAATGTGAACAGGAATATGAACAGAGTCTGTATCTGGCCTCCAGTGAGCTACTTCTCTCCTTGGCACCTCCAAATGAGATCATCAAGCCGTGACCCAATTGACAGGCCAGACTCCACCCCTTCACAAGTCGACACCACATTATCTACCCTGAATCGGGTCAGTACAAGTCAGGGTTGACTTGATGGCAATGCGTTTACTTTATCACAGATCCTCAGGAGGACTAGTGGTGCATCAATGAAATGCTTAGCTGCTAGGTAAAATGCTAGTGATCTGCTCCTATAAAGATTAGTCAGAAAACCCTACGGGATAGTTGTATCCCATGTGAGGCCTCCATGAGTCAAAATTCAGCTCAACAGCCCCTGACAAGTCATTACTCCTATGATACTAGGGCAGTCATTTCATTGGACATTATGTTTGTTTCCTTTGCTCAACATATAACCTAATTCTTCGTTGTGGAGAGGTGCCCCAACATGCCTTGACCTACTAGGTATCATTAATAACACTGCCCTAAGAAACATTTGTTTTGGGTTATAAAACTCATTTTGAGCTGAGTGGAGAGTATTAAGTCTTCACTTGGAACAGTTTTTAATCAAATAAATGTAGGGGAATTGGCCAGTATGACAAGTCCACATGGATCCTAAGAGACCCGAGGGCAATACCCATTCTAAAAGCGCACAAGAGTGAGGGATTGTCTGTATATATTAACTGCTGACTCTGTGCTTAGCAGCCCAGCGCATACCAGGATGCCACCAGGGCTCCTTCCTTTCATTGAAGGGTTCTAGTAAAATTCAACTTTGTCTAGTATAACCTAGATACAGGGGAGAGGAAGTATAGAACATTTAAGAGTGGGGAGCAAACGAAGTAATTGGGTGATAGAGGGATGAGAAGGCTAGAAGTCCCCAATTAAGTCACATTTTAGGACTGAATTCCTTGATAGGTCCCTTTAGGAGCACATATGCCCAGGGTGATGGCTTATTGTGGGTTAGGATTATTTTATGAACTAACCTAGCTTCTCATTTTGCATATGAACCTCACACTACAATGGTTCTTCCTCCTCCCTTTTCCCTTGTTGAATGTCAAGAAGACACTTCCAGCTCATAGTGACCCCTTGTGGTGGAGAGGAATTGTCCCAAGGGTTTGACTGCAATCTTTATGGAGTGGCTCACCAGTTCGCTCTCCTTCAGAAGTACTGGGTAAATTTCAACCACTGACCTTGTGGTGAGCAGCCAAGGTCTTAACCATGGCACCACTGGGACTCCTCCTACTGGAGTCTGCCTAATTCTTACGACTGTGCTTTTTGAGGAAAAGTCATCCTTGCCTGATTCAAAAATGTCCGATGCAAGTTTTGCTTTGGCAAC